AGACAGTGTTGCCTTCTCCTCCACACCGAGTTAGCTGTGGGGAGCAGGGAAGAGCTGTTCCCTCAAACTAATCCAGCCCCAGTGTCTAGTCCAGCCCCAGGGCACACCTGTGTGGCCCATGCAGAGGGAGAATCCTAGCAGCAACAGCTCTGCTCTCACCAGGGCTGTGGCCCAAAGCTCAGGAGATGGCAGAAGCAGCTCAGTGGAAGCCAGCACAGATCCCACCTGCACCAGAGGTCCTGGTGGGCCCTGAGGGAGCAGCACATAGCTGCACTCAGGCAGCGCTTAGGGCTGACCCAGGGCTGAGGGCTGGAGTAGGGAACACCTATAGAACTCTGTCTCAGCCACCTGTGGCTCACAAACAGCTGATTTAAAACAGAGCTACTATGCAATCTCCAGCCATCCTGCTGTTCCTGGGAATGGAGTGGGGCCATTTTTACATTCCATCCTGCCTCCCATTTCAGTTTCAGTCTCCTCAGGGCAAATTACTATCTTTAGTTCATCTGCACAGACACAGAACTTTCAGTTTCATTTAGATCATGTAAGTACAACTGTTATATTTAAAGCATCTAAAAAGGATGAAGAATGATTTAGGGTACTATTAATATGAGCAATTTTAAACTGAAGAGGTCAGACAAAGGTGAGTCTATTTATCTTAAAAGCTTCCATTCAAACAGCCTCAATCCAGCATCAGATAATATCTCAGAGTGTCACTCCAGCTGAGAACCAGTATCCTAAAGAAAATAACAGCATGTAATCAGACAATAATTTTGAACCCAGCTTTTCTCACTCCTGTTTTGGAAAGGATAGTACCAAATCCTATGTTAGACTTTGGGATTCTTCCTTCACTTGGTCCTACAGCTGAGATTACAATTGCAAGACATTCCCATCAGACATGACAGAATCCACAAGAAACACCCCCCAAAGAATGCAGACTCAACTCACTGGCCACCATTTGATGTAATGCTGTCTCTTGTAGTCTTTAACTTTTATGTACTCAGTCAGGCATTAACAACTTTTAACTCAAATTTTACAACCTCACAGGAGGTGCTTGGGCTCCAAGGGTAAAAAAGGAAAATGTATTTCCTTTAATTAACCATGCAGATACATATTTAGGAGGAAAGTTTTCAAGATTAGCTTGGTACCATCTCCCTGTAGCCCTGACTTACAAGCGCACAGAAAAGGTAAGGATTCCTGAAAGTCTTACACCATGTAATAGATATGATGACCAAGCCACCATTTTTGAAAAAGCCTAAAAGACAGTCTAAATCATCATATGTTTTTTACTCTGTTTTGCAACCACCAGACTGAGGGAAGGTAAAAAGGCTGAATAGTAGGATGAATTCATCCTTGGTCATGAAAAATAGTTCTGTTTGCAACTCTAGCTTTTCAAAGCTTCATTGCTTCAGCTGAAAGCATCATGAGAGAGGTCTGTGTCACCAATCAGCTGTCTGGTGAACATGCTCACTGTTATGGTCCTTTTTGGTCAGTTCCTCTTGAGTCTGCTCTGATCCCTCCCTCTCACCCTTCTCAGTTCCCCCTAGGGAGGGGGTTTTGGTAGCAATGTTAAATGACTCACCCTCTGCACCAGGCAGGGAAGTATTTCACTATGTGGTGCTTTTCAAGCATGAGCCAGCCAGAGTCAGAAAGCAGACTTTAAAAACCCCCAGAAGTCCCAACACCCAGAGGGTGGGAACACAGACACCCTTAGTGAGCCTGACTCATTATGGGTCAGTGCTGTCTGTTCTGTGCCCAGGGGCACCCCAGTGCATCAGTTTCAGACCTCATTTCAGATCTGCAACAGCAGCTTCAACTCTTCTAAACCAAGAAAATGAGGGACTTTTATTGTTCCTCTTAATCCAGGTTCCACTTACAGGATTTAGATTTTTCTCTTACACGAACTGAATTTTTCCAAAGCTTCAGATATTTAGATAATGGCTGTTGGTGTCACCAACCAGCACTACAGCCAAGGGATACCAAAGGATAAAGTATTGCCACCTCCCACTTGTGGACATTTATCAGAGTGCAGATTTTCAACATGAAGACCCTGTGTGGTACAGATCAGCTTTTCTCAAGAGCTTTGTCAGTAGTGCCTGGTGCTCATGCCAGGGTTTGCATTGATTAATTTCTTTGTCAGTGAAGGGGGGGGACACAGAGAGACACACTTTACTTCTTTGCCTACAAGTGGAATATTTCGCACAACAAAAACCATCTGTCTACCAAGCATAGATTTCAGAAATCACATCACAAAATAACAAGTTTTCCATGATGGGAGAGGGCGCCACTCTTTTACATCTCCCCTCCTTGGTTTTGATGTCAGTACATGAAGATGCCCACTGACCAGCTACAGGATATAAGAACACAACACTGACATTCTCTGCTCAGCTTTAGTCCTCACCTACAATCTAAGCCCTCAGTTCAAGCACCAACAGTAGCTTCTTCAAAGCTTTAGTAAACTTACATGTGCCAGGAACTCACAGGAACATTAAAATATTATACAAACTTCTTTATATAACTTCTCCTACACTGAGAACTTACCAATTGCCCTCCTAACTCTTGGCACTCCCACAAGTAATTCCTTGTTAAAACTGAAGTTAATGAGTGTCTAAAGAGACCTGGGAGAAATGCAGCACTTGCAACAAGTCGCTGCTGTTCCCCATCCCCCCATGGTTCTGCTCTAGATCTGCTTTTGCCACAGCCTGGCAAACCCCAAGTGGGAAATGCTGCTTTGGGAGAAGGAGGAAGCAGTACAGCTATTGCATGGAAACACAGAGAATCTAAGTAAGGCAAGTTTGAGAGGAATGGGAATTCGGAAAACACATGCATCCACAAACTGGGGTGATCTCACCCAAAATTAAATACTGAGCATTTTTTCTTCCTATAGTTAAGGAAAAATCATAACAGAAATAAAGAGGCCTATGAAAAAAGAGAAGACATTCCTCCAGACGGTGCATTAACACAACAATTGGGCCAGTCTTACATGATTACATCATCACTTGGTGATAATTTATAACACTGGCCTAAGAAAAGCTTTTAAAAGTATATTGGAAGAAAAAAATACACATTTTACCAAAAAATCAGTATTTATTATTCTGTCTTTGTCATGTTACTTCCTCATGCTCCCAAAAACATATATTTGTCTACTAAGACACTCTCAGCTAGAGGTGTTTAGTAGACCCTTTGGAAAAGGGATCAAACTCTAAACAGATCACATTCAGCCTTAGCTGAGTAACCCCAAGAATAAATTAACACTACCTATATTCCAGCAAACTTTATTCCTGACTAAAGGAGGCTTTTATGATATAAACTGTTAAGAAGCTACAAATGCACGTTCCATTTCCTGTCCTTTTCCATGGGAACTCTGGAAAAGAAAATTTATTACTAAATTACAGTTTTCCCCACTCACCTCTGACAGGATGAGGGTATTACAGGTCTTCAAATCTGATTTCCTCAGCCCCTTGAGAGATGACTGAAAATGAAAACACCGCCTCCAAAGCATTCCCTAATTTGCAACTCTTCAGATGTAAACCATCACTGCCTCAGATGCTGGGGGTTTGATCAGTGTCAACTGAAAACCCACCTATTTTCTTGCAATACTTTCTGTTAGATTCACAGAGAGCTTACCCCCCACCTCTTTGTCTTCTGTCTTTTTTCCAGATCATTTTTTCTTCATCCAGCAAGTGCATTTCCTCTCCAAGGGATCTGGCAGATAGGCGACAGATTTTTCCAGCAGTCCAGATGGAACATGAGCCCCATCCCTCTTGGCACAGCAGGACTAGGCTGACATCAAACTCTACAGTCTCTTCTCTCAAGTTAGCTCACAGGCAACTGGAAAGGGAAATAACGCTCACACTTAAAAGAGGTCAGAATTGGGACCAGCATGGAGATAAACATCAATGTTTATTGACTGGCCTGGCAACCTTCTTTGCTTTTATTGATTATCTCCCAAGCGCCATTTTTCCCAATTTGGTCAAAAGTTTGTGATTTTTCTTTATTTGTTTAGAGAACAAAAAAAAAAAAAACACCCAAGAATATGTTCCTGAGGTCACAGCAACAGCAGGCTTGGTTGTTCACTAACCAATTCACACCTGAATGTTACATTACCCCATGGTCCATAAATATTTATTTGCTCATCTACAGAGGTATGTTTATTTAAATAATAATAAGCAGGTAGCTTACCCAACTGTCCTACAAAGAGCTAAAAAGACAGTGTCAAGCCAGTGCCAAGGAGCAGCAAAAGTAGAGTTACTCCACATGACCCCAAGAACAAAATGCCCCTCAGCCTGAGCTTAAGTAGAATGCCTGAAATTGGTCCCGGCTGGGTCTGGCTGAGGTTATTAAAGGCCTCAGTGTGCCCTCAGGTGATAGAAGGCTCTGAAAGTCTTCATGAGCTTTGGAGTTCCTGTCTCCAAGGATGTCTGATACGACAAGTGCATGCATAGACAATCTAAAGAGATAAGCATCATCAGAGTAGCTCAGGGAGCAAGCCTAGGGGAGCAAATATCCTGTGATACTATCTGTGGTTTGACAACTTCACAGCTGCATAGTTCTCATGAGAGTAACTATTTGCTGCCCATAGTGTGTCAAATATTCATACTTTGTATCTCTGCAGTCTTTTTCCAGGATATGAGTTTTATCTGAAATAATTTTGTCCTTTATTCTCTCTGTTTCTCTTTTTCATAGATATGGTTTTTCCACTGTGCTTCACCTCATCACTGTACCACCGTGTAAGTCAAAAGTTTAAGGCAAGAAAGACTTTCTGTGGAAATCTGGCTCATGGAAAAGCTTTTGCCCCTTTCCTCTCAGTTCAATCCACGCCTCTTCTAACACATCTCCACCTCACAAACTTTCTGTTCTTTGCCATTGCACCCTCGGAACCGATTTTCTCCGGGTAGCCTCAAACCTCTAAAAGCAGCAGCTGAAGCTGCCCGGCAGCCTGGGGTCATCGATGAGGTGGTGACTCTGGGGGGTATGCGAGCGGGTGACCCTGAGCACCGCCGGGCGGACAGCGCTCCTCGCCGCCTTACTCCCACCGCGCGCTGTTGGAGGGAAGGGGAAGGAAGGGCCGCCCTCCCGGGCTCCACTCCTCCCCCCGCTGTTTCTCCGAGGCAAGGTAGCGGCGTAGGGCGCGGAGGAGAGGGAAGCGCTGCCGGCGGGGACGGCAGGTGAGGAGCGCGGGGCGCCCGCGGGGAGCGCGGGGCGATGCCGGAGCGACCCCAGCACGGGGCACCCGCGGGCGGCTCTGCGCTGCCCCGCGGCACCTGCGGCGGGGCGGGAGTGCCCGACTGCCCGGGCTTGTTGCTTTTACAGCCCTTTCCGCGGGGCCGCGGCTGCCGGTACTTCCTTAAAGTAGAAGTGGCGCTACCGTGGGCGCCGCAGGCCGGGCCCCCGGCACCCTCCGAGCTGCGCCGGGCACCGCCAGCCTGAGAGATATTTCGGGACCTTCTTGATCTTAACCCCGCGTCATTAGCACCTTGCTCCAGCACGATTCACATCTTTCTCCGTTCCCGCTCAGCGTTAGAAGTTTGGGGCTGTGAGTGCTAAAATCTGCGGAGAGCTCGATCTGCAGAAACTGCTGATTTTCAGTGCGCTGCAGAAATGCCGAGTGGAGACAGCAGTAGCCTGAGGACACGTTTCTGGCCTGTTTGATCTACCCGTGCCAGGCCTTGCAGCTCCCACGTGGAGCCCAGGAGCTGGGGCGCGTTCCCGAGCAGATCCAGGCTTGACCTGAAGGCTGTAAGATGTAAACCCTGTCGGTTTGGGTTTGGTTGGGGTATAATAATGAGGGGTTCGTCGTCCTCGTTGCTTTCCTTGCCCCGTTTTCGAGACCAGGCTTTGTTTGTGCTGCGTACTCCGGTAGATTTGCAAGTGTTTGTGTTGCCTTATCTTCAAACTGAAACCTCCTGGTTAGAAGAGGAAGTGGGGAGGTGCGCGGCTTCAGGGAATGATGGAGTGCCAGGAGTAGTGCACTGGGGCCATGGTTTTCCATGCTGGTGAAAGAAAGGGTTTCACCCACCCCTTAGGCTGCTGCTCATTTTCACCCGCATCAGCACAGGCTTTGTGTGCAGAATTAGATTGGGAAGTGAAACCTAATCTAAAGACGCCCCAAAAAAATCCAGATCAATTCCTAAATGTTTTCGCTGGCCCAGGAGGGCAGATGAGACAGCTGCTTTTCTGCAACAATAATGGTTTATAGTGGAACAAAGTTTATAGTGGAACAAGGGTGGGCAGAAGTAGAATTCATCTGCTGGACTGCACACCTGTGCTCCTGAAATAAAATCCCAAAGTTGTCATCCTTTGGCCATGGATTACTTTTGAAGTTGTTTATTTATTCTTAGGAGCATAACTAGGGGCATTTTGACTTTCCTAAAGTCAGGGCTTTTGTTTTGTTATGAGGTGCACAACGACAGCTGTCCTGTGCACCTTGTACTGCACTTGTGCTAAAAGCCTCACCTGCCCAGAGACCGTCTCGGGAGCTGGGTCTTGGAATTTTTAGGAAAGCCACAGCTCTTCCCCTCCACGGGTACCCCCTGGTCTAGTGCATACCTAAGCTCGTAAATCATGTGGCACACAGCAGCACAAATTCAAAATCCTTTATCCCAGAGGCAGGAAAGGCAGTGTTCCCAGTGTCCAATATAATGCCTTTATTTACCAAGGCAAGCAAGCAAATTTCTTGGATAAGTACCAGCCCTTGTTGGTTTAGTAACTGTTTAGTGTAAAGGTGTAGGCTGGCACATGTAAGAACCCAGTTAACAACAGGGCTTGCTCCATAGGGTGAGTTGGCCTCTTCAAGTCACACAGTTATGAAGCTGTAGTTTTGCGACTTAGGGCTCTGTGTGTGTGTGTGTGTGTGTGTGTAATTTTGGAACTTCAGGGCAGACTCCCAGCTCCTTCCCAGTGAAACTCACTGGTAAGGTGATTTCCCACTAAAATGATGGCTTTGAGCTGGTCAGATTATTCATTTATAATGTCATTTGTTTAAGGGGAAATCCATTTAATCTTTAATGTATACATTTTCATTGCCTTTATGTTTGTCGTTACCACCTCATCTCTATTATCCCTTTAATGACAAATTTTATATCAGCGGCATTGACATCAGGTATTACATTACTAAATACTTATTTTTAAGAAGATCTACAACAGCCTGTAACATTGCTTCATCCCTTCTGGCATAGTTATTTGCTATGTTAAAAGCAGTCTGAGTAGGGCCCCTTCAACAAGAGGCTGTGAGCTGGGTTCTCGTGTGTTGTTGAAAGTTAACAATAAAAGGAATTCATCCATTTTAGTGCCTACACCTCAACTGGAAAGGCCTTTTTCAGGACAGAGAGCTGTCTCACTGTTTATATATCACAAATCCTGCCTGCACCATCAGTTACCTTATATCTACAAGCTATTTCTTCAGCAGAACCCAGCTGATGTTAACCAAAGCTTCTACTTGGAGCGTCTCCTCTAGTTTGGCTTGGCATGATTACTGTTCACCTGTCCTGGCAGGAGCCTAGTGAGATCTCAGACGATTCACCCTGCTGAGAAGGACACATGCCTACATCCCTGTGCAAGTCAGCAAGAACTGCAGATCTGTGTCTGGATAATGCTGGCAGAGAGCCACTAAAGTTGTCTCCCCTTGCATGTACTCAAATAGGTAAAGCTACTCTCTGGATATGGTCCTGTGGGAGAAAGCTGGCAGAACTGCAAATGTAAACTTGGATTTGCAGTAAAAATTAGAGCCCTAAGCATACAAGTCAACAAAATGCCTTTGTTCACTGGACAGATTACCAGAGCAGATCCCACAACTGTAGGCTTTACAGCGTCCAGGCTGGTAGATTAGCACTGGATGGTGGGCAAGCCCAGTTAAAACTGAGCTATATCTACCCAAATGGAGGCATCTGGGTTGGGGGTGTGGCAAAATCAGAATAAAACCAAAAAATCCCACATTCCTATCCTGCAAGAGCGATTGCAGGAGCAGAGTCTAGTTCAGAGGTAACAAGATAACATCTCTGAAGTTCCACCCAAGGCCTCTGTGAAGTCCTGGCAGCATGGAATGATGTTGAGACTGGAGAAATGCATTTGTTTCAGAGTGGAGGAAAAACATCCTGTTCATTTGGTTGGTTTGCTTTTGCAGAGCTTACACAGACCTTTCCCAAGATGGTTTCCTCAACTGAATATGGGTCACACACCTGGGACCTCTTACTGACAGTTGATCATCAACATGAAGGTGTAGAAAAGGAAATTCCACTACAGGTCACAGGGGACCTTCATGTTGGAGGACTGATGCTGAAATTAGTAGAAAAAATCAGTGAGTAAAGACCTGTTTTATTTACAGTATTACTAAATAATATGTGCAGCTTTCCCTGTATGAAGAAAGGCTTTTGTGTGTTTTGAAATGGTACTGCCTCACTTCTGTGTCACAGCAGAGTGTGGAGGTTCTTGTGGTCAGAACCCCTCCCTATGTTTCACTCTCTGTGTTACCATAGTGCCAACAAAACTTTGGGGTTGTCTTTCAGTTAGATGAAAATAATTAAACCAGGCTAACTGCTCAAGTCCCTTTCCAGAAGAATGGTACAGGTGTGTGGTTTGGGGGGCAAGAGAGGTAGGTGATGCCCTGTTTATCCAGCCTGTCATAGAGGGTGAGTTTTTAAAAGGCACTTCGGAAATCCTGTTTTCTGTGCTATTGTGGCATTCTAGCCTAAGTCTGAGCTGTGTTACCCATTGCATATATACAGTAGGGAAGAGCTGGGAAAAGCCAAGACTAGCCGAGTCAAAGTTAGGAAGTGAAAAGTAAAATCCCCTGTGTATAGGAACAGCAAGGGAGCACAGGAAGAGATCGCTTCTGTCAACCCCTCTGCACACTCAGACACACGGTTCAGACGGAAACAGAGTTTCCACTGAGTCAGAATAATTTTTCACAGTATTTTTTAAAAATACTCAGCTAGTGTGAAAAGCTTTCTGTATTAATATTTAAAGCAAATCTGTAACTGACTTGTGCCAGCAGCTGTCTTGAGACACAGCTCCTACCAGGGGACTCCAAAGTAGGACAGGGCTCTGCTGTGTTATGGACATGCTGAGGAATAGCCTCTGCCTCATGGAGCTGATGAGGAGCAAGGATTGATACAAAGACTGAAACAGCTTGGCCAAGATCACACAGAAGCTTTATCTGCTACTGCATATTGACATCTAGGAAGTCATATAATCTTGGAACTCCCATGGAATTGAGAGCAGAAATACTTTATCTCCTTCCTTGTGCATGTGCTGCTGCTTAGCTGTGTGTAACTAAGACTTCCATGGACTTGAAGCTGGTTCTTAACACCGAGATGAGCTGCTCAGTGCTGCTGCCAGTAGGCTGTGGAAGAACTTGTGCCCTTTTGGGTGCACAGGAGATCTTGTAGAGGATTTCCAGCTTGCACTGACAAGTTCTGAACTGGGACACTTTGTTGTTAGTCCTTATCCCAGCAAAATCCTAACAGCATTGCACCATATGTAGCACAAGATTCAGGAGACGTTCTTTCCCTGTGGATATCCACAAGACTAAGGCAGTGCCACAGTCAGCACCTAGGTTAGGTCTTCAGGGAAAACAAAGTTGGTTCCCAGTGACTACCACAAGAATTCAGCAAACAGGGTCTAGGCTGAGACCTGTAGCTGCTGCTTTAATCTAAAATATTTGTGTTTGCAGAGACCTGTTTTTGAACCAAGTGTTTTGTATATATGCTCCATAGTTTGTTAGTAACCATTTTGTATTTTCCTAGAAATAGCACAAGATTGGTCAGACTATGCTTTTTGGTGGGAACAAAAAAATTGTTGGCTTCTGAAAACCCACTGGACACTGGATAAATGTGGGGTGCAAGCAGATGCTAAGCTGATATTTACTACTCAGCACAAAATGCTGCGGCTTCGCTTGCCAAACATGAAGACTGTGAGACTGAAAGTCAGCTTCTCTTCCATGGTGTTTAGAGCTGTCAGTGACATCTGCAAAATGCTCAGTAAGTAAAGATAAATCTCTGGCAACTAAGCTGGAGCATTTATTGGGTGATTTTGTTTTGATGTGAAGTCCTTCCTCACAAAACTGTTTAGCTCAAAGAGAAATTTGAGACAGGTTTTTGGGAGTTTCACTATGCAGTGTATGTCAGTGGTTCTTAGTCTTTGTGATAACTGATGCACTGTCAGCAATGTGTCCCACGAGCTGCAGGAGTACTGGATAGTCAAAGCTGGCAGTTTTCTAGGAATCTTTGTCCTCCTGGTGTAGGACTTGGTCATGATTATTCTGTGCCAGTGACTAAGAGCACAAGATTATCAATGTCCTACACCAGCCTTCACCAGAGGCAATTTTCCTGGTGTCAACTGATTTATCACCTATTTTCACAAACATTAATGATATCCAACTCTGCCTATATGTGTTCACTTCAGATGTAGCATGTTTTAAATGTTCAAGACTTCTGTATGCCCAAATCTGTTCGGGTCAGGGCATACCTAACAACCCCAGCACTGAGTCCCCCACTCTTCCCAATAATGGAGTATTTCCAAGTAGAGGGTTTGGAGCATGCCAGATGTGTGCCTGTGACCAATGGGAATCAGCTGAGTCTACAAGCACTAGTAGTACCCTTCAGTTTAGGGTAAAATAGGGATTATATTCCTCATCTTAATTAAGATCTTCAAAGCTTAATCCATTAACACACTCATCTTCAGAAGGAATTTACTGCCTCATATTGATCCACTTTCAATGTCATCTCCTAGCAGTAGATTGTGAAAGGTGCAGCGTCTTTATTATACCTAATAGCTCTGATATAATGATGCCATAATTGTCTAACTGGCATTTGGCCAAATTAAATATTCCTACATTTTCCCTCCAGATTGAGTCAGTACAGGAACACTGTAACTTTGAATGAGTGAATACTGTCAAAAATGTCTTTGCTTACCCCAGGGTAAAAGTGTTTCTCAGAAATGAAGTGCCAGGCTTGGGACTGGAAATACCTGTCTGGATTAGTAGTGCATTAGGGAACAGTGAGAACCAAGAATCTTGTATGAGAAATACATTGAATAATAAAAGGCATCAACCTCAATTATAGTGGTCCTTGCTTATTCATAATTTAGATATTTCACATAGATTATTATGCTCATAGGTGACTGCAGTGCTGTTAGGGAGAAAGAGCTTCTTCCTGACACTCTAAAATGCAGTTACATTTTCCTACAAAAGGAGATTTAAATCCTATCTAAGCTCATTCTTATGGCCTGAAGTCTTTGGCCTTTTTATAGAATTAGTGAATTTTCCACAGCTACTACTTTCAACCTGCTAAAAATAAAGTCCAGATTGCAACATGAAGCTTCCTGAAATGCTGTTACCAACCATGGTTGCTCTTTTGGATGTAATCATCTTGCTTCACTTCCCAAACTGCCTTTGCAGATATCAGGCGGTCAGAAGAACTCTCTTTGTTGAAGCAATCAGAAGGCACACTCAAAAAGAAAAAGAAAAAAGACAAGAACAGCAAAGAACCAGCTACAGAAGATATCTTAAACCTGTGCAACACTCCTGTGAGTTCTGGATTACCAGGTAATGAAAAAACAATATGATTTTATTGTTCTGACTGGAAGTCAAAAGGAGGAAGAAATTCTTTGTTACACAAAGGAGGCGAGTTTCACGTAGGATGGTCTTGGAGATGCAGTGGGCCTGAAATCAGTGGCTTCAGGAAATCTCCAATACATCAGTATTTCCCTGTTGTCTCTAGAAATGTTTCCCTTTCCACTGATATGAGAAAAGCCACTCTAGAAAACAGGTTGTGGCCCTGCACACAGGATATGCAGCTGCCCTTTGAAAAAGGGGGGCAACACTTTAAATGTTCATGAAATTTGGCAACCTGCAAGGAAAATGAGGAATAAAGGCTTGAAAGCATGCATTTCCTGCATCCAACAAAACTGAGATCTCACAGAGCAACAAAGAGCATTTCTGTCCCTGAGGTCACCTCACCTGTGGAAGGACAAGGCCAGCTGGAAACAGCAGAAATAGGAGACTGTCTTGAAAGAAAAGGGTTTTTATGATGGAAAGTAGTGGACAGGACCATTTTTCATGGGAATAACATTATGCTCTTAACTTGCAGCCAATCCAGGTTTATACAGCAAGACCATGACACCTATTTATGATCCTGTCAGTGGGTCACCAGCTTCTTCCACAATTACATGGTTCAGTGATGGTTCCTCGGCTGAGCAGAATTGCAGCATCCTGGCCCTCAGTCATCCCACCTGTTCCCCGGAGATGCTGGCAGAGATGTACCAGCCACGGACTTTGGCTGACAAAGCCAAGCTCAATGCAGGGTAAGGTGCCTCTCCTGAGATCCTTTGGGTTTAAAATGAGGAATGATGTCATTGTACAGGCTCTGGGCTGAAGTCTGTTGTTAGATGAAAGCAAATTCAGCTGATCACACTGGGCACAGCTAAAGGACAATTTGGATGGCAAATTCCAAAGGTTTTAAGTAGACAGTGGAAAGACACGTGGATAAGTTCAATAATTTTGCATTAAAAATAGGTGACTGGGTTCTGCACAAGTAAACATTGCTTATCGTATATACACAGAAAATGGAAGTTGGAAGTCTATATGAATGCTCCACCTTCTTGAGTTACATGAATTTCCCCCAGATTTAGAGGAATTAGAGCTGTTTGTTCCCACTTTTGTTTCACAATTGCCCTGGAGCTCTGCGGGTGTGACGGTTTCTCCAATTGCACTGGAGCTCTGCAGGTGTGATGGTTTCTTCTGTACAGATGTATCTGTGGGTTGTTTTCTTCCACAGCTGGCTGGATTCATCTCGATCACTTATGGAACAGGGTGTTCTGGAGGAAGATCAACTTCTTCTACGCTTTAAATATTACACTTTCTTTGATTTGAATCCAAAAGTAAGAGCCTCTTTTTATTGCTATTCATTGTTTCCCTGTTTTAATGTCAAGGAGCTATACAGCAATATAGAATATATAGAGCTCTATGTAGAATTTTAACTAGGATTGGTAACAAGCCCTTCAGAGAGATCAAATTCAGCTTCTTCCCCTCAGCTACAGCTGCACTTTTACCCTCTGGACACTGAATCACTGTTCCTCACATGAAATTGGATCTTAAATTTAAAGATGGGATCTGAAGAGCACCAGAAACAGTACCCTTATTTCCAGAGGGGCTGCTTTACTTTCTGCATCTTTTTTAACAGGAAAAGTTAAGGGGAAGACTAGACTAGCAGTATCCTAAATGATGTAAAGTGTCCAGTTTTTGAAATTTGGCTTAAAAATGACATTAATATTGCAATGTCCTCATTGAATTTCACAGCTTCTCTGGGCTGAAGCCCTCAGAGAAATCAGGGCACTTTCCAGTTTATCTGGCATGTTTTTGGGTGAAATGGAACCCCACTGAAATCCAAGTACATGTTTCAACTTCAGCAGGCCAAACACTTCCTTTCTCTGCCCCAGCCAGCCCTGGAGCCATAGGATGAAACAACCCAAAAGAGCTTCAGGCAACCTAGTATCTCACCTCTGCTGAGAGAGGTCACACTCCAAGGTTTACCCTCCCATCACCTACATTTCAGCAGCTCTGGGGCTTGAACATTTCTGTGAGTCACTTCACCTTATTAACCAAGTAGATAATAAGGAATAATCACTATCCAAAAAACCAGATAGTGAATTAAAACAGATCTGAAAAATCTCAAGCCAGTGCAAAGACAGACAGAACAGGAAGTGAAAAAGCCAAGTGGAAGAAAGGAAGTGAGGAACAAGAGAGTTCTGCAGGTTACATTTGGTCAGCTGTGTCACATGATTTTCTCCGAGTGTGGTTTCATATCTTGGTTACACCAGTCCAAGGCTTCCTGCCTCAAAGGGATGTTGAGCCTCAGTTCTGCCTCGGCCAGGGGCTCCTGGTTGGTTTTGTGTTAGCACAGCAAGCCCTGGTACCATGCACACAATCACACAAGCTGGTACAAGGCAAGGAGGGAGCAGAGGTGGGAGGAGGAAGGAAACAAGTACTGCGGCTCAACCCAGCGTTGGATCAGCTGCAGCTGGCTGTGAGGCTGTGCCTGAGGTCACTGATGGGCACTGTTTGCTCTTCCCTGCAGTATGATGCAGTGCGCATCAACCAAATATACGAGCAGGCCCGCTGGGCCATCCTGCTGGAGGAGATTGATTGCACCGAGGAGGAAATGCTCATCTTCGCCGCGCTGCAGGCATGTACTTGAGCCCACTTGCAAAACCTGTTCCCTCATGAGGCAGGCACAGGTTAGGATAACACTAGGGCAGAGCTCGGGCCAGGAGCTCTGCTTGGATTGGGGGTCTGCTCTTGGGGTGAGAACCAATCAGCAGCATCCATCAGCTAAAGCAACTAAACTCAGTAGCAGCACTAACACCATTATTCACACAATTATGGAAATATTCACTAATATTATCTGCACCCAGAATGTAATTTTGATATCAGTATTAGTATGAAGTGTGGTTTCCCATAACACCTACCATCACTTCACCTCTTTCTGAAAATTCCTGTAATACACTATGTGTACATCATGTGTACACCATTTCCCAACAGACAGGAAAAAAGCCACAGCATAATGTGAAGACAGGGGCACTGTGGAGTACTTGGAAATTTGACATAACTGAGCATGGCTTAGTCTCTGACCACAGGTAATAAACCTTCATAGATAATAAATTCCTTCCTTTTAAATGTAAACAGAGCTGCCAAGAATCCACAGCCTATCACTACAGAACACCAGAGCACCTTGCTTCCAAGTTTCCAGCTTGTATGGATGGCAGAACTAGGGGTCCAAATGTAGCAACCTCCCAGAACAGGGACAATTATTCAGCAGAGGAATACAAACACTGTTAATTAAAATAGGAAACCATTATCAGCCATTGCACAGGAGTCACAGTGGACATGGCTCTTTCCTTGGGAAATCCCCCTGATTCCTGTAGAGTTGTCCAAGACCCAGGAGACAAAATGATCTGTTTTCAAACACTGTGATTGTGTGTTGGTAATAGGTGCATTGACTATTGGATGCTGATGTTTTATTTTAGTACCACGTAAGCAAGTTATCATTATCATCAGAGACACAAGATTCCACCTGTGAATCGGAAGTGGATGAAGTAGAAGCCGCCCTTTCCAATCTGGAAGTGACACTGGAAGGTGGAAATAAAAGCAACATTTTGGTACGTCCTTTGGGATCCTGGAATTCCTGTTGCTGTGTCAAATCTGTTGACTTTCATGAGCCTTCCTGGTTCTTGATTTTTTTAATTACATAGTGCATTGTACTAAAATTATTCCTAATTATTCCTGATTAGGAGGACATCACAGACATCCCAAAACTTGCTGATAATCTCAAGCTAGTTAGGTGAGTTGTTAAAATTAATAATAAAACATACAAAACCAAAAGCTTAACCTTACAAGAGGTCTCTTGAGTTTTTCATTCTTATCTAACAGTACATCTGACAGTTAAAAATTGACAAATACCCCAGATAGGTCTAATCAGCCTAATATTCTCTTCCAATCTTTCTCTTCCTGCTTCTGACAAAGCTTCTGTTCCTTGGCAAATCTTTCCCACTCCTGAGATGCTGGGTAGCTGTATTTGTACTTATTAAAAGACCCTGCTGTCTGTATTTTCTAGTGGTCATCAGTCATCATCTCTAAACAAAAAAGCCTAAGTTTTATTTTCAATAATATTTACTTTTTTTTTTTTTGCCAATAAAAATCCAGAAGAAACTTGCAGTTCTCCCTGAGAAGAATTTCTAAAAAATTGTATTTTTTAAACCAAAGGAGCATCCAAATTACCCCTTTCTTACCAAACATGGAGGCTGTTTTTTCTAATTTCAAAATGAGTTTCTGTGATCTCATTGTAGTATCTTGTTTGATGGGTGATTTAAATGACTGTAGAGACTGTAGAGACCTCAAGATGCCTTTTATCACAAAACAGTCTTTATGTTTTAGAAAGATAAAGTGTTCTGTTGTACAAGTATTTATCAGATTAATCCGTTGACAGATGGTATTTTTAATCTGGGAACTGAAAACTGCACCTGAAAAATTTTAACTGTTGTTAACTGCTAACAATTGTTAATTATTACTTTCCAATTTGGAATTTTATTTGACATTCTTATGAAGGTGGCTTACAATGAAAGGGAATTAAGGCTTTTAACAATAGGTTGTTTGGTTTTCCCCAGCAGTAGAACAGTTTGCTATTATAAGAATTTAGCAGTCATTTATGATCATGACAAAGTTCCTATATAAATGCTAAATCACTTACCAAACCTAAGGCATTGTAGAATCCATATAGGGTGTAATACTTTCCTTCAAACAACAACACTTTGTGGCTACAATTATTTGATTAATTGTAAACCTGAATGCAAAGCTGTGCATGTCCCATTGCTTACTGTTCCTATGGTGAAGTTTTATTCCTATTTATTCACATTACACACCACAGTAAATGCTACTTTCACATGAGGACAGTATTGTGGAGAATTGCAATAATTTTTTCAAAAACAACAAGAAAAAGCTTTCTAAAAAGTTTTCAGCAACTTTTTCAAGAATATAAAAATAATTTTATCTGTCTAAAAAAATTATAGTCCCTTATGTTTGAAAAATGTTGCTGTATTGGAAAACTAAAAACCAAATTATTTTATAGTTTTGAAAATCCAAGGTTTTTTAATTTAAACATAAAAATTGCCATTTTCTAGAAAGGATTCCAAAGTAGGATTTTTAGAGACGGTTTGGAGCTATACATAGTAAGAGTATATTCCAGATGGTTGTATAATCTTTGTACCATCCTCTTAGATTTAAAGTGAAATACTGGATTATTTTTTCTTTTTTTTTTCTTTTTTCACTTCATTGATGACCTTTGTCACTAGCTGTGAAGTATTTCCCTACTCACATTTTCTCTACTCAAATGCTAATATCTCTGGCTTTCTTTCCTGGAGGGCTACAAAGCTTCTGTAAACTTAGTGAAGAAGCAGAATTTTGTTGTGTTAGATATGATTCAGATTAAGCCAAAAAAGCTGATCTCTGCTTCCTTATAATGAATACGAGTTGGTTTAATGGGTGCTAATATTCAAGATAAGGCACTAATGCAAATTCATGTTAATAAATCAGGGGTTACATTTGTGTTACTGAGTTAATGGAAAAACTTAGTCCATAGAAGGGAATGGCTTTGATTAGTAATGGAAGAAATAAATGAGAAAAAAATCATAGATGAGATTCAGCTAAAATTTAGAGTAAAAATCACATCCATACCTGGGATAACCTGGATTGGATCCAGGCATTAGCCACCCCCTCACTGACACAGAGGTGTCATACCCAACTAAAGCCATGGGTATGGTCTTGAATTTCAGAGGCTCTGCAATATTTGTGAGGGACTGGTCTTGAATTTCAGAGGCTCTGCAATATTTGTGAGGGACTGGTCTTGAATTTCAGAGGCTCTGCAATATTTGTGAGGGACTTAGCAATTTGTATGTGTTGATATAAATAAATGGGATTTCTTTTTTTCTTCTTAGGCCCAAGAAGCTGGCACTCAAAGCTATCAAGACATATTGGTTTGTCTTCAGAGACACTTCAATATCTTATTTTAAAAACAAAGAATCTGCACAGGGAGAACCTATTGAGAAACTAAACCTGAAAGGTAGGAATTCTCCTTTCTTTGTTTTTTGTGTTACATTTGTGAACTGAATAAAACAAGAAATCCCTGCTAGACTCAGGAAGGCAAGCACAGCAGCATTTAGTCTGAGAGCTTTTTCAATTCCTGAGACTCCTAAGCAGGCAGATTGCACCTGCAGAAGAAGCTTAAACAGAAAGGATTCAATAGTTTAACCCGAGCTGGGATTATCAGAGCCTGATTTGTAAAATCCCCTGTACTTGAATTCTTCAAGACAAGTCAGATAGGGAATGTGACTTGTGGGATGCTTTATTTCCAAATACTTCCACTTGACACTAAAGGGAGTGTTCTCCCATGTCCTTGGCAAACACACAGTGGCAGCAGAGGATTAGGGATGATGCCATGGGCAGGAATGCCAGAGGCTGTCCCTGCAATCTGCTGTGCAGGGACAGCTCCAGGGCCTTCTCTGTGCCTCATTTATGTCCTACATGAGGATTCCCATGATTACAGCCAGCTGCTGGAGGAGGAGGCCTGGCTGTGCACACAGACACCATCGCCCTGTGTAGCCTCCATCTACATCTGCTCCTGCAGGGACATCCTTTGTTCAGCATCAGGGAACCAGTGATGCCGAGGACTCACCCTAGAAGAAACCTTTGAAATACAAGATTGACCCCTGTGAACAAATGGCTCTGCATCCCAATCTGCATATCCTCAGTAGGTCAGAGAATGCCTGGAAAAACAGCCAGGGTGGCTGGAACCTCACAGAGTAGCCTCTCCCTCCAGCTCCTCTCCATTTCTAGTGCTGAGCGTTTCCTAAGATCAGGCTGAAGTTTTGGGAGCACTCCCATCCTTTCACTTCCATGCTGACTCACGTGCTCCCTGAGCTCAGAACATTCATCACCCTGGCAAGCCAGACCAGGCAGTGAACTGGAACAAAACCCTTTCATTAGGGCCTAAGCTTCAAAGTCCTGGCCCTTAGTCTCAAAGCAAAACAACCACAAAGCACTGTTCCTTAGTGTTAAAGCAGTAATTAAAGTTACTGATATAGTAATGAAATAAATTAATTTCCTTCTGATTCCCTGTGATCTAGGATGTGAAGTTGTACCAGATGTAAATGTTGCAGCGAAGAAGTTTGGAATCAAATTACTAATTCCTGTTGCAGATGGCATGAATGAAGTATATTTAAGATGTGATAACGTGAGTAATAAGAGAAAATTTGGATTCAAGATTTATAGCAGATTGTCCTGTTCTAGAATCTGTATAGAAAAATGAGGATACTGCAGAGAGCTTATTGTCTAAATCTTTGGAAAATTTAATAATGATGTGGTGCCCTAACAAATACATAATTGTTCTGGGGACATAAGGACAGTGAGTCACCTTGTGCTTACCATCAGTTGCCAAGTAAAGCCATTAAGAAAAAAGCCAGAACAAACTATCAAAAAAAAAAAAAAAAGTTAGAGTCTTTTATTCCAGCGCTGTCAGAGAATTGAGGTTTGGATTTTGTTTTCTTTTTTCTTAATTAGAACTCTCCCCATTTGAATGAGGAGAGCATGATGAGCATCTTAAATTAGTTTTCTGTTTATTGAAACGTATCAGATCAAATCGTGTAAGAAGTGTTCAATAGGTGAAAACCAGTAATGCAATAAAATTTCCAAGAGAATCTATTTCAAGGTACTGGATTTCTTAGAAAATTTTAAACGTAGGTGTAGTTGGAACTAGTCCAGTCAGGAAGGAAGAACAGTAACAAACAATTGTTTCAGGAGGATCAGTACGCTCGGTGGATGGCTGCTTGTGTTTTAGCCTCCAAGGGCAGAACAATGGCTGACAGCTCCTACCAGCCCGAGGTCCAAAAGATCCTGTCCTTCCTCCAGATGAAGAACTGGACCATGTGTTCCCAGGCTGCCTCTGAGCCAGAGAATGTAGATATGAAACCCGAATGCTTCGTCTCACCACGCTATACCAAAAAATTCAAGTCCAAGCAGGTATCCTGAGTATGGCTCCATGGCTGGGCATGGGCAATTCAAGTGGTTGTTTAGGGATGAGGCTGGATCAAAGCAGCATTTAGAAGCCATGCAGTACAACTCCCTGCAATAGTCATTTGTCCCTTTAGAAGAGACCTTTTCTTCAAACTGAATACAGGGACAGGTTGTCTTGGCACCTCCTCCGAGCACATCTCCTACATCCACACCCTGGCTTAAGTCACTCATGATGTTCTGCTCCTGATAACACTGTTCCTGAAAGTCTCTTCAGAGTAACAAAGGAAGGACTGCAAACCACTGTTTGCTTCTGAAGCAACAGAGTCTTCAGGTCTTCTTGCCCCTCAAGTCTTTCCTTGCTCTCCACCTAATTCCTGTCCTTGCTTTTCCTGTGCTTGAGCTCAGCCTGCCCATCCTGAGGAGGGTCCCCAGAGCAGTGTATGGAGTCAGAGCAGTGCCACACAAACCCAGACCTGAGACCTTGCTGTCCATTCTGCCCTTTGTACTTGGGTTGTGTCCCCAGGTGCCCTCTGTGCTACATCTGCACAAAGTGACAATAAAGTGTCTGAACACAGAATCAGACCTCATGATTTCTGATTTAGTGAAAGCAACAGAATTTTTGTTCTCCAGTCAGCTGAAAGCTTTCTCTCTTCCTCTGCTTCCCAGCTGACTGCCCGTATTCTGGAAGCCCACCAAAATGTATCCCAGATGTCCCTGGTGGAGGCCAAGCTGCGTTTTATCCAAGCCTGGCAGTCCCTCCCTGAGTTTGGTTTATCCTACTACATTGTAAGGTAACTGTACTCGGACTCACGTCAAGCTGCCGTAACAAGTTCATGCTCAGTGATTTGCAGGAAGTTCTTTGACACCCTGTTCCAAGAACATTTTCTCTTTTTTCCCCCACTTCTTTTAATTTTTGTAATTTCCATCCTGCTAGTTTTTTCTATAGGAGTAACACCCAGTAGCTCATTCCTGGAGTGACACTCTGCTTTACATCTGCCCTGGTACAGACCTCTTGGGTTTAGCCTGAAGTAACCTCTCACTAGCATTAAACTCTTACTGTCATAAACTTTCCAAAATGTATAAAATTCATGTCTAATTGGTGTGCTCAGGTTTGCAGGATGTGTTCACTCTGACCCTTGTTCATTGCAATGCGATAAAATGCTACTTTCTTTTGTATTTCAATAAGAAAACAGCAAATCATGCCTTTTTAAGGGGATGAGCAGTGAGCCCTTAAAAAGTTAATCTGGAAGAGCAGTGAGCATAAAAAATGTCCCATTGTGTTCACAGCACCTTCTTCCTTGGACACAGCAGAGGTCTGACTTGCAGCTGTTTCTCTTGACAAAACACCAAAAAGCTGAAAATTACTGACACAACCATACTTGGAGGCACCTTCCTTAATGTGCCTTCCAGGACTGGCTAGAACTCATCTGTGGTACAAATTGAAGCAGGTGGGAGCCACGCTCTGGCAGAGGCCAGCTGCCATAGAACAGCCCACATCTTCACTATTGAACTGTGACTTCCCAAAATCCAGTAGCCTCATGTGAACTGAGATCATGTTGGTCCTTGGATGTCCCAGGTTCCAGACTGTGCCTAGGAGTTACTTGAGAGAGCTCTGCTTGTTTGGAGCCAGAATTCTCCCTGAATTCCATGCCCCAAAATGGTCCCTGATCCTGTTGGATTTACTACCACAGGTACAGATTTTTTGCGCTTTCTGTTACCATTAATCTTGTTAAAAGCATGAACAAACCCAACACTTAAACTGCACTTTGTAGTGGTGAATTGCTACGCAGTGCTGGGCAGTGTCTTGGTAGGGCATTAAGCAAAGCACAAATTGTGTCCAGGTCACTTTTTCTCCCTAAGGTCCAGCTGCATCTAAAGAGAGAAGGTTCACAAACAGGATCAGAAATACTGAAAATACAGCAAGCAGATGAGATTTCTCCCAGCTTTCAACATGAACATAGAGGAAGATTGTTTCTTTATCAGAGTAATCTGTTCCCAAATCAAAAAATTCTGTCTGCCAAAAATTCTGATGCTTTTGTATTTATTTTTCATTTCTAATCAGAAGAAAGTTGAAATGTTAAAATGCCTCAGTAATTTTGTAATGTGATTTATACTGAAAAACATGTATATATCAGTTGTTCTGATTATATAATTTAGGTTAATATAGATTAATATAGGTTAATATAACTAGAGGAACATGTTTCAACATTAGAGAAATGAAGCAACAAAAATTGTTGGCATTTTTTCCAGTAAAAATATAATCAAGTTCATGCATTTGGGAAGAACACTATTTTTTTAGCAGGAAACAATGAATTGGAAAGATTTCAGCCAGATCTACCTTCCTGACTATTTTCCATCTTACACCATGGCTCACCAACCTACACTTTTGCTTTATAACAAGTCCTGTTCTTAAGAAGGGTCCAAGCTCCCCTTAACCCCAGGCTCTTGTGACTTTTCCCACATCTTTTGCACTTGCAGAGGTAAGCAACTGAAATGTTTCTCTAGACAGAAATCATTGCAAAGCACATCTGCTCAAATGCTTTGGGTTCTTTGCAGGTTTAAAGGAAGCAAGAAGGATGATGTGCTTGGAGTGTCCTATAACAGGCTGATACGGATAGATCTGGCCACAGGAGATCCTATCACAACATGGAGGTTCTCCAACATGAAGCAGTGGAATGTGAACTGGGAAATCCGCCAGGTAAACCTGGAACAGCTCTGCCTTCAGTCCTTGCATTTCACACACTCAAGGATGCTTTCAGAAAATATTTTCTACCCTCACTGAAAAGATTTTGAACGTGTTGTGACATGACATTACATAAGCTGTCTGCAGTTTTTCTTAGTGGAGTCTGTAGTCAAAAATCAGAAACAAAAAGATCACCAGTTTTAAAGGTTCCTACCAAGCTTATTCTTGACAAGTTGCCCTTGATTTTGATGGGATTAAAAAGACTCCAAAGTGAATTCCAGCATATTGTGTTTACTGCTCTGTCAGTAAAAATCCTCATTTTAACTCTCATGCATCATCCTCTACATTGTGGTGGTTCTATTACAGACTAAGGATACAGGAACCCTGTTTGTCTTTCAGATCCCAAACTGAGATTTGCAAGGCCTGCAATTCTGTGTCAATGTGTGGTCCCTGATTTGGGGCTTCAAAGGTTGAATCCAGTGCTATAAATTGTAGATTTCTGGGGTGGAACTAGTGTGACCTGATGTAAATTGGAGCAGCCTGGAAATGCTTCCTGCTTGTGGAGCTTTCCACATCCATCTGCAGGAACCAGGAGAGATCAGATACACTCCCTACTTCTCTCCTGCAGTACTCCCTGCACCAGAGCCTGTAATTCTGGGTCAGGTTGCTGGGTTTATTAAATTAAATTAAATCCCTCTCTAAAAAGGCAGAACCCACAGTGATCAACTAAGCTCAGTTAGCTGCATTTTAGAGCTAATGGTAGCTGGAAACCAAAACTGGGACCCCAAAGGCAGATTTTAGGTCAGCACATAACAATGGACAGATTATTCATTAGACAAAGAGTGCCATTCCTGCCATTCCTGCTCTTCCCAGTGTTCACTTTATATGCCATTGGAAAAATGCGAAAATATGTTGGTGCCTGCTTGAACAAGCAAAAACGTTTCACCACGAGAGGGCCCTGATGTAGCAGCAAATCTAAAACCAAGCAGCAAAACACCCTGAGCATCCCGGAGACCCAGAACTCCTGGTTAGTAGGGGCATGTAGTGCTTTACCAGTATTTCACGGTATTTGTGATCCAGCTGTGTTCTCACACTTCTCTTTCTTATCTGTCTGATTTTGCCACATCTGTTCTCCTTAGGTTGCCATCGAGTTTGACCAGAATGTGTCCATTGCTTTCACATGCCTGAGTGCAGACTGCAAAATCATCCATGAGTATATTGGGGGCTACATCTTCTTGTCAACACGTTCCAAGGACCACAATGAAACGCTGGATGAAGAACTCTTCCACAAATTAACTGGAGGTCAGGAATGAGATGAAGTAAACTCTGTTCCCACTGCCTGCTTCTTCTTCTAGCTAAGACTACCAGAGACAAAAATATCTCTGATTGTTAATTGCTGGCTACTAATTTTTGTACATGTCAGTTTTCTACTATGACTGGAATGGTTTACAGGTTTTTTTTTAATACTGAAGCTAAGGTCACTGGATGCAGTATGACAACTCCATCATCAGTACTTGAGAAAATTTAATCATCTGTGTTTTCCTTTTGTACAGATCAATGTTTTTAAATAAATGGTGTCTAGCCATTGGACAATTTTTTAAATATAGTATTTTTAATTGCAGCAATCTTTTTAAGCATCCAAAACAAGTAACTTGAGGATATAGTACAGTGAATTTTCTTCTCTGTTACAGCCAGGCAACTTCCATTGTTAACTGGCCATTGTTAAAGAGCCCAGCATTTATCAGAACTAAAGCTGAATAAATACGTGTTTTAAAGCTCCATGGTTTGTCTAACACTTGCCCTGAGAACACAAAACATCACAAAGTCCTGCGGACTAAGCTATGGAAACTCCTGTAATGGTTACTCATTTGCTCAAAGATGTAGAACCCATGTCCATGTTCATCCACTGAAGTGGTTTCTTTAAAGCCAGAGAAGTCACAGGGCATTCATCTTGGCAATACTGGATCCAAAAGGTTCATCTTCTGAGGAACATTGTTACTTACCTGGTTGAAAAATATGCTTTAGGAACTATCTAAAACTATTAAAGAGGCCTCTGAGTATGTTTCTATTTTCTGTCTCTGTTACTCTGTTTCACTGTGACATGTCACTGAGCTAAGCTGTTCATGTGAGGATCTGAAAAGCCTGTAGAAATTATTTTACATGTGTGCAAATGCAAAGAGTGATGCTCAGAGGGCTGGAGCCCCTCTGCTCTGGAGACAGGCTGAGAGAGATGGGGGCGTTCAGCCTGGAGAAGAGAAGGCTCTGTGGAGAGCTTAGAGCCCCTGGAAAGGCGGTGAGAGAGCTGGACAGGGACTTTTGCCAAGGGCACACAGTGATAGGACAAGGGGGAATGGCTTCCCACTGACAGAGGGCAGGGCTGGATCAGATGCTGGGGAGAAATTCTTCCCTGTGGGGGTGGTAAGGTCTTGGCACACGTTTCCCAGAGGAGCTGTAGATGTCTCTGAGGAGCCAGATCTGAAGCCAGCAGCTCTGCCTGCTGGAAGGAGCCACACACATCCACCGAAGTGAATGAAATTTAATACTACCCTGTAAAACAAGGACAGAGTGAAACCAGGAGAATTCATGAAACTGCTGGACAACCCAAAACTGGTTTCACATATCTAAAGAAATACCATGGACAGGTGTTGTCATATCATAAAGGGATGCTGCAGAAATCACAGCATAAATTCATAAACATCACTGGAAATGGAGAGCCCTTGTTTTCATGCAATGTGCTCTGCTTTACCCCAGCCCCTGTCAATGGGCTTCAGCGGAATCACTCACAGTTTGTGCAGTTTAAATTATGGCTTAACACTTAGCAAAAAGAAAAAATGACAGCCTGCTTCCCAGCCCTCTGTTCTTCCCTCTCATCAGCACTCTTTGTACAGGCTGAGGGACCATCCAGTTTTCCTTCAGAAGAGAACTTAGTCACTTGTCACCTGCTTGACACAAGCCAAGTATTTTCCTCACGTTGTGAGATCCACCCAAGTCCAAATACTGGCCATATTTAAAGCTTGCCTAAGGGTGCCATGGGAGAGCTAAATGCTTATATTAGTGCCAGCACCTCTTCCATAAAACAGCTGCCTTCCAGATCAGTCTCCACTTAGGCTTTGCAGTGAGGATCCTGATGGAACATTTGGCAGCAAGCAATACCAGACTCCTGTGGATTGTTCCCTGGGAAGCACAGCCTATGCTTGCTTCTCTCACAGCAGAGCTTGTCCCAGAGTGCTGCATGAAGACCCTGCAGTTGCCACTTGCTTATGTGACCTGAGCACAGGAATGCAGAGATCTGTCATTAGCAGAGTGTGGCTCATTGCTAAACAAGCACGTTCATTTGCAGTTCAAACTGTCTCTGCTGGGATTTCAGAGAAACTAGCAAATATTTCCATTTTCTTTCCTGCCCCTCCTTCAATTTTACCCAATGTGTCACTGCCTTTCGACTAAATCCTTCACTGCTGCCTTGCAAGGAGGAGTTCTGCCAGCTCATCCTGGCTGGCTGTAAGCCCTATCCTTTGCCATTTTAGGTTTAAGAGGGTGATCGATCCCCTGCTGATGCCCTCTCGCTGTATTTCCTTAGGCCATTCAGCTGTATTTCCTTGCCCCACTCACTTTGCAAGGCTTTTTCACAATAGGTGGGGAATAGGTGGGAAAGGAAACTTTTCATCTAGCTTCTTTGAGTGCTGCACGTGATTGCAGCTCCTCTTTCTAAAAAGAGGAGAGGTTTCAGTGGTAACACTCCTTCCTGGAGAGGTTGGAATGGGAAGGCAGGACCCAGGGCATTCCTGCACTTCCAAATTCCAGGCTGGATATGGTGGGCAGCACCTGAGAGAAGACCTACCCCAGCCTGCTCTGCCAGACACCTGCACCAGCCACAGCTTGGAGTCATTTTTCATCCCCCCTATGTCACCCAGCACGTCCCACCAAGCTCCAGACATTCCCTCAATGCACGTGGAGTTCCACACCCTCCCTAATTTGTGGAATAACTTGAGTACTCTTGGCTCTCATGAGCTCATCACATTTATTTATACACAGGGTTAAGACCACGGGCTCAGTGGGCTGTAGAAACCACGTTATTAATTGCACAGTGCCAGATGTGGGAGAGGTTTCCCAGAATGAGTGAAAGCAGGACAGGGGCGTCTGCCCTAAAGTTTTGCAATACAGAGATGAAATCCTGGACAGGAATGTTATTAGACAAAAACAAACCTTCAGGAAACTTACACCTCAGCTCAGCTGCAACCCTATTCTGTACAAGGTGTTTAATTAAACCCAAGCCAGGTCAGGGTAAAGCACTGCCAATGTTGGATGGGTCCTGCTGCTCTGACATCAAATTCCATAGGGCATTTCACCACTGCCCCCAGCCTCGGTTAGGAGACACACATCCACCCCATTGTTTTCTGAAACCTCAGGCTAAATCCTGTTTTGCCATTCTCTCCCCTTTCTCTGTAGGAAAATATCTTGCTTGTGCTTGTTCTGTGGACAGACCTGTGAAACAGTTCTTTTGTTGGCTTTAAAAGCCATTCTCCAGATTTTTTTTCAGGTTATTTTCATTTTTAACCAGCACTTGGATCACAGCCAGTAAGAAACATTCACTTCTTAAACTTTACAGCCTGGTACCATCCTCACCTTCTCCTGCTCTGCTTATCATGGTGTCACTAAGGAATGCAGGGCTCAGCCTGAGAATTCCTGCTGGCAGAGGGGCTTTGTGCAGCCCTGAATCGCCCCCGGGGACGGGGCGTCTGCTTCAGCTCTCTTTGCATTACCCGTGTGAAAAGGCTGACAGGAACACCTGCCTTTGCTAACCACTCCCTCAGGTTGTCACCGAAACTCTCAGAAAAGCGGAAAAAAGAATAAAAGGCGACATGAGAACAAGCCAAAGTAAATCACAAAGGGGAAATCTCTGCCTGCTGTTAGCAGATATTTCAAAGAAACTTGTGAACGAGGACTGCTGCCTGCCCTGGGAAACCTCCACCAGTACCTGGGCAGCTGCCCGAGATGCAGCACCATAGCAGAAATATTTCAGATGATGAAACTTTGCAGCCAAGCAAAGAGCTGGGAAAATACAATAGTCACAAAATCTGAGCAACCAAAAAAGCAGAAACAAAGATGGAAAATAAAAATAACCAAAGCTCATTTCCAAGGGTGCTCTGCCTCTTGCAACAGGTTCTCCGTATGACTGAGAAATCAAGGGTCTCTGGGCAAAGAAAACCTCCACTTCCCTTCCACCTTCACCAAAACAAGCAGCTGCTTTCCCAGTCTGACAGTCTGCTCGACTCAGTCTCCAAAATTAAGTCAGTAAGGATGAAATTATTAAAATTAAGGCAGCTCTTGGCTCACCGAGTTTCCTGAAGTATTTTTTGTAAGATATTAAAATCAATACGATAACCAATAACCCTAAAATAAGCAATGAAAATTCACTGTCTGTAAATACTGAGCTAAGGGCAGCAAACACAAGCATTTAATAGTCCAGGACAAAACCAGGCCACCTCCCTGCTCCTCGGCTTCCCAAAGAGCAGCACCGCAGCCGGCAGCTCTGCGAAGCCAGAGGGAAGGCAGGGTTTCGACCGGCCCGTCTGGAGCTGGGCTTTCTTCCTGCTATACCAAATTCTTCAGATTTTTGTAACCTGTTCCACTTTGCCCTTTGAACCGCAGCGAGTGCAGAGCTCTGGAGGTACCTGCGGGCGCGCACGTGCCGGGCCCGGCTGCCCCGCTCCGCCTGCGCCACCAGGGTCAATGGTGGGATTAGCCCCTCATTTAGGAAACCATCTGTCTTGCCCTAGAGCCGTTCCGCAGGGGAACAACATGTGCACATCGCCCAGCCTCCAAGGGAATGGCTCCAGAGAGTCCTACTGGAAGCCCCTATCTCTGTTCCGTGGATGTTCTGGCGTTTTTCAAGGCTCTCTCCCCACGCACATAATGACCTACACGGTCAGTAGATAAGGTCTGCCTAATGTGTACTTACAGACTCAACGTTTTTGGGCAAGCAAGACCTTTATCTGCACTTTAGCACCGAAGGGAAATGTATAGGTCGGTGCTACCTTCATGTCAGGGATCTGTTTTGTTGCCCCGATAAAGGAAAAACGACTACTCTTCTCCTCGGAAATGTTAACAATTAGTTGTCCTACAGTAGCAACAGAACAAACCACCCTTTTGCTTTTACTTTGGAACAATCTCCATCAACACATCCCTTTCTGGGATCATTTCCCTGACTTTATTCTCTGCTCTCGATCTAATTATTGTTTGAATTGTGGGAATGCTGAAAAACCCAGCTCAGGGCAGGTCCCTCAGCGGGACGTGGTTTATGTTGTCAGTTTTACTTATCCAGCAAAGGATGAGAGAAGTAGCAGGAAGAGAATTCTCCCAAACCATGTGGTACACAGATGCAGAACGGAGAACACAACCCACGCACAGCGGGACTAGGAGAGGCCTCCCAAAGGCCGTCGCACGGGGAGTGAGATGCCCTATGCCCTCTCCATCGGCAGAGAGAATTCCTTCTCTGCGGGAGAAGCAGGTGAAAGTTTCACTTCTAACATATCCTAAGGGTCTCCTTAGAAAAGTAATTTGTCCTGCGTAAACTTTTGCAGGATTTACTCCCCAAGAGCAAGAGTCTTAGAAATTTAAACACTTGAAGCCCCTTATTGGCGCCTAAAGAGAGACCAAAGCTCATGTCAGCAGGCAGAGCCTCAGCTTTACATCATCCTGACCTGCCAACAAAGGACCACAACAATTCCTCTCCCTCCCCCCCGTCGGGTCGGTAGAAGACGTGAGAGTTGGGACTATTGACACTGATCTTTTCCTTTTACCCCCCTCTGCTTAGACAAAGACAGGAGCAGCCCTGCCTGAGTGTTGGGAAATAAGAGCCCTCCCTTCCACCCACCTCCTGCTAGGGCCAAGGGAGCGGGGAAAGCTGCCCGGAGCCGCCCCCTCTCAAAGCTGGATGCGGAGGAGCGAGCCTGGAACAAACCTCGCCTGAGCTTGTGGGCAGAGCTGGGAGCAGGGAAAGCTGGGAAGAGAAGGGAGGCAGTTCACGCTGCCGGCTGAGTCACTCCAAGCGTATAAAAGCAAGGCCGAGTAGTCGGAGCCACTCCGAGCGGAGGCACGAGGCACCCGGACTTTTGGACAGGTACGTGCAAGCGGATGCGGTTTAAGGGCAAGGATTAAGATTAAATCTAAGATTGAAATACAGCAGCCCAATTCCTCCCATCCTCTCCCTGCCAATATGCTGCGGAGCAGGAGATCCAGCGGCTCCGGTGACCGGGAAGCCCTGAGGCTGCTTGGAGCTTGCATGGTTCCGTCTGACAAAAAGGACATAGGCAAACACAGCACATTATGTTGGTGGTCCGTGTATACTATTTTGCTGGTCCCTACTTCAAACCTGGGATGGCAGCAAAGGATAACGGTCTGGGCAAGACTTGGCATCATTCAGGGAACAACAAGGAGCAATTAAACTTTGGAATAAGTCTGAGATATTTCATAATACGTGGGGCTTTGGTTACCACCCTACTCTGTATACTTCTGGACGAAGAATCATTTTGTTGCCAGGAAGTGCAAAAGACAGCTCAACAAGAAAAGCACGAGTTTAGGACTGGGGTTAATTCTTTCCTCTGACACACATTACCTGTGGGGACCTCGCACAAGTAACTAAGGACTTTTTTTTTTTTTACAAAGACCAAAGCAGGGATGGGAGGAGGGAGCACAGAGGGAGCCGTAACATTAAATAACACGTTTCTTGGCACTCAGGCCTTTGGGGCCCTGATCCAGGAGCGTACTCAGCTTCTGACCACTTCCACTGAAATGTGGCTCAGGAGCTGCATTTTCAGTGCATCCTTTCCCAGCAGCAGGGCTGTGCAGCCTTGTCTGTGGCTCTCATCTACCGCAGGGCCCAGCAGACAGGCTGTGGGCTCTGCCAGCTGCTCAGGAGCCCCAAGCCCACTGTGGGGTTCCTCTAGGACTGTCCTCAGAATGGGGCAGAACTGCCCTGGTAGAGCCCACACAAGTCCCTGGTTTTGCTGTTCCAGCTTCTGCTAAGGAAAGGAAAGTCCTTCCTAAAACAGGAAAGGCACTTTTACCTGCCCACTCCAACACAACCCAGCCCAGTCTGGGGTCCTGGGCTTTCAAGTTTAGCAACTCTTCTCTGTCCTTGGATCATTCATTTGCTTTACACCACCTCACAGGAAACAGTCCCTTGCTAAGGCACACTGAACACGGTTGTTTAGGCATCACCCCACTGGAAATTCTTCCCACTGGGCTGGCCAAACTGGACAGCAGGACAACCTGCTGGCAGTGAGGGTCCTGGTGTGGGATACAAACTGGTTCATGCTTCCTGCATGAATGATTGTAGGCACACTTAGACTAAGACTGCATGATACTTCTATCCCCAAGGATTAATGTTTACTTAGGCTTAATTACAGAAGAGCTATTAATTATCACTTATTACTGTCTGGATATAATAAAAAAGTGCTAATAAACTGTTTTTCTTTTAAAAAGTTTTTAGATGACTGGAGAGATTTTAATTTAAATGTTGATGCTTTGTTTTCCCCTCCCTGAAAATAAAAAGGAAACAGATCTTGCAAGCTGCAAGCACCTGGGAGAAGGATGTTGTCACCCTTGCTCATCCTCCCTCTGCTGCTGGGGACCACGGCACATGGCCCCGTGAGCAGAGCAGCATCCAGGGATGTCACCACCTTTTTCCAGCTGGCTCAAGATGACACTTGGGAGAATGTTAATCTCACCAGCATGTCCTGTGAGGATCAGAAGAACAGGACCTGGATCACCCTGCAGCTGACCAACAGCAACCTGACAGAATTCCCCATCTGCCTTCCAGAGGCCCTGGAGACCTTGGATCTCAGCAATAACCTCTTGGAAGAGATGAATGGCACAGAGATATCAAACCTTCCACAGCTGCGTGTCCTCTCACTGAGGCACAACCACCTCTGGTCAGTGAGGTGGGGATCTGAAACCCTCAGCAGTCTCCGCAAGCTGGACTTGAGCTTTAATAAGCTGTCATCTGTGCCATCCTGCCATGGTTCTGCCCTGCCTAACCTGAGGTGGTTGTCCTTGGCTGGAAATCCCCTGATTGAAATCCAGCCACTGGCTTTTTCCTGCTACCCTCAGCTGCAGGTCTTGAACCTCTCTGCAACACTGCTCGGGCAGGATGACAGCAGAGGAATAAGGGACTCTGCTTTTGCCATCAGCACAGATCTCAACGAAGCCATGAACAGTTCTGGAAACTCCATCAATGTACTTGATCTGAGCGGGACCTTTTTTGAGAAAAGTAAGTGTCTCGATTTCCTGCTATAAACACAGGGCTTGGTCAGACTGGGTAGCAAAAGCCTTGCCGGGATGATGGCTCCCATCCTGGCTGAGGCTGGAGTGCAGGGGGAGCACCCCACACTGAAAGCTGCAAAGAGCTGGTCCAGGCATGCAAGGCACTCTCACACAAAGCAGCGTCCCAGACGAAGGGCAGAGACCAAACACCATGAGACAGGACGATTTGTCCCAGTGTAGTCAGCCACCTCCATCCTAATCCCACTGTCTGCTACTGACAGTCATCTCCTTGTCAGCCCTGGGATTAGTTTTGGGAAGCACAGAAGGAAGTTAGTTTCTCTTTCCTGACAGGCTGTTGAAATCTTTCTTTGTCCCCACAGTTACAGTCAGCTTTTAGAGCTGCATTGAAGTAGCACAGAGAGAGACTTTTTGTGCCTTCCACAGCCAGCCGAATACTTCCACTGAGGGGGGAGACAATCCTTGCCCCAAGCAATCCACAGGAGGTTTTTTCCCTTTTGCCCTGCCAGCCTCAGTTTATGCCTGAGGTGTTGAGACACACAGATGTTAGATGCCTTGCCCAGCTGCTCTCAGCCTGGGGCAGGGCCAAGGCCTCCTCAAGCTAGAGGCTTCACTTCAACTCACATTAAACAGCTACACCACCAAATTTCCTCCATGAATTTGCCTAATCCCTCTTGTGGTAGTGAGTTACCCTATTGAGTCATGGAATAGAAAGGCCCTTTCGTACAAGACCTATACTTTCAGTTTCATGCCTCTCAGCTCTTTTCCCTGTGCTAGGAAAAATAAGTGATTTGCCTTTCTTGCACCAGTCAGGACCTTGTAGACCATTTTCCTGAACAGAGAAATCCTTGTTCTTTAATTTCACCCAATAAGAAATCTATTCCACATCTCTTATTTGCTTTGTTGTCTTACTTTCCCCTCTTTTTCTCTGCCCTATGACAGTCTGACCTGCAGGGACTATAGCAAAAATGCATCTGCATGGGTGTTTACACACTGGTGTACGGACTTTTTCCTATTCCTTTCCCAAAGAGAATAGCTGCAGAAGGTGACAGATACTTTATATCTATTAATTCAAACCCTTTTTCTAGACAGAAATCCACAGGAATGCTCTGTTCAGGCAATACGTGTAAATATTTTTCTGTTTCAGTTCAACCAGAGTGGGCCAGAGATTTGACCAACCTCAGATCACTTCACCTGACAAACATGCCACGGTTAAGAAGCCTCAGCAGTGACATCTTCAAGTCTCTGCCTGGTCTCCAAGAGCTGCACTGTCAGGACTCGCGTTCTCTGGGTTCCGTGCAGACAGAGATGTTTGACAGTGCTCCTCATCTGAGCCATCTCTCATTTGAGAAGTGAGTTGGGTTTTTTTGTCCTTCCTCTCATAATACTGCCTTTGCCTCACAGCGCTGTGGTGCCTGGGAGCTGACTTGAACAGTTTGTCAGATTTAGGAAGGAGGTGTGGACTTGCTGTCTTTGCCATGCAAAATCTGTGATCTGGCCTGATAAAGCTGGTACAGCCCAAAGAGGCAGCATGGGACTCATAGCACAAGTAATTGTTGCTTGAGGTTGTATCCATTGTGTTCCCACTCCTCTGCCTTATCTCCCTGTCCAATGGATGAATTCACCCAGCCTGTTTAGATCAGCACAGATCCACTGAATCCTGCTTGTGATAAAGACCAGGCTTCCAAGGGCAATATCCCATCAGAGGAGAAGCAGGTCACTGAGGGTTCCCTGCTCTGCAAGGATGAGTGCTGACAGGTCTCCAAAACCTGCATCTCAGAAGCAGACAAAAATCCTGTCCCTCCCACTTTTAGTGTGAGAGTTTAATATAGCTCCTTGTTCATCATTAGTAAAAGCAGTATTTTAGTCCTCATTCTAAGGGTAGCACCTCTTGGTACATCACATACCTGAAATACTAAGAGGGACAAAAGTCCAAAAGTGATTTATCAAAATCAGAGCACGTGAAGTGCACACAGAGCAGTCAGCATAAAGGAAAAAATCTGGAGAGCACTTTGAAACATTTTTATAATAGCGACCCAGATATAATCATATCAGAAAACAAGCACTAGATCACTGGCTGTAACTAGAAACCAGTTTCAGGAAAATAAACCCATACAAAGCAAATATCCTATGGATTCCATCCCCCCTTGTTTGTCCTACTGAATTTACACAGCACTTTTCAACACTTGCAGGAATACCAGTTCAAAGTGCTAAAAATCATGCCTAAACTTAAAGGAATTAAAGTCCTAGAAAAAAGAGAGCATCTTCTGAGCATGCAGGGTGGTGGGTTTAATAACTGGTTACTGCCAGGGGGACTGGGAATATTGCTTTGTGCCTTACACAACACTAAGGGTAAGGGATAATATGCGAGCTCCAGTCATTGGAAGGTAGCTCATCTTTTTTTAATTATTGCATTTGTCTTCTTGTAGCTGTAACCTGAGTTCCTTTAATCCTTGGAACACCAATTCATCGGATGGCATCACCATCAACTTGTATGGGAATCCTCTGCTGTGCAACTGCCAGCTCTCCTGGCTGCTGTCCAAGCCCAAGACAGTTGTTCTGCAAAAGTAAGTGAGCTCAAGGAGATCAAGTAATACTCTTCAGAAACAACTTCACTGTGCAGGTTGTTTGGGGACCATACATTCACCACCATTCACTAAGTTATTCAAATTCCTTGTGTGTTTTTCCCTTCCACAAGAAGTAGAAGTGCAAAATAATGTCCTTTTCAGGGACAAAGCATAAAGTGTTATTAACTGTGGATTCTGCTTTAAGGTGAGAATATTTTCTTTCTGTTTTAGACCATATTTCACATTTTTCCATATTACTTGAAGATAGAAAATGAACTGTCTTGAAGTGCCAGCAGAAACTGGAAAACTTAGAATGATCTTTAACAAATTATTTTCTCCTCACCCTGCTACTTGCAAAGCTTACATCACCACCAGCAGTCAACAAAACTCCTTGCAAATAGCACCATTTCTCACCTATTGTTTTCATGCTCCCCTACAGTTTTACAGACTAATTACACCAGTTAAAATAAATATTTGCATATAAATGGTCTCTCTTCCTTTTCAAAGGCCACCAAAAAGATTTGTCATCAAATCTCTCTGAAAGCAGGGAAGTAGCTTGTTGAAAATAGAGTTTTACATCGGGACTGGGCTTAGCAATTGCATTCTTTACCAAAACTTCAGTCTCTGAGTAAATAAAGAATTCGATGTTAGTCATTTAAAAGTCCCGCCCCACCTCCAGCTGCCTAAGCCAGATGGATTAAGAATTCCGGGAATCCTGTTACAGCTCTCTGCATGTGTTCCCTTGTTACTGCTGCATTGAAGTCTGACCCTTTAAGACAAGTTGAATCTCGATGCCCTTTGCTTAAGTTCACAGCCATTGTTGTACCAAAGGACACTTCTCCTCGGGCATAAGATATCCCTGCACCTTACAAAACCAAAAAGCCAGTTCCAGCTACATTCCACAGTCAGTGCTGTGGAAAGCTGCCTGGACTGTTAAGACAATCTAGTTTTGGTCTAGATTTCACACTCTCACCAACATAAAGATTGCTCTGACAGCAGGTCACCAATTCCAATCCAAGCAGCCTACAGAAACCTGTAATGTTCTTCTGGATCTAAACTATTCTGGTTTCCCTCTGCAGGGCTTGGGAGACTTTTTGCACATCCCAAGAAGATTTGGGCAGACCTTCGACATCCTTTTCACTGCTGGAGCTCTACAATAAATGCCAGTCAGAGAGCAATGTTACACAGTCCAATTCAAACACAGCCCTTCCTGATCGTGATGCTTTCAACTTCACCAGTGATGATGCCTCTGCTGTAGTAACAACAGACTCAGCTCTATTGACCACAGATTTGACTCACACCAGCTCCCTAATCCAGAGGGATGTGGTGAGCACTGCAGAATCCAACCCAATGCTAACCAAAGACACCTATACCAGCTCCCTAATCCAGAGGGATGTGGTGAGCATGACAACATCCAATCCAACAGAGCCCATCCTAACAAAGGCCAACAGTTCCTCCCACAAGGTGGAGGCAGTTTCAGAATCCACAAGCAATACCCCTTCCTTGGCATCTGTAACCTCCTTCCCAGTTTTTTTCGCAGAACTTTTTGCTCAGTCCCCAGAGCACAGCTCCACAAGTCCAGCCGGAACAAGTGGAACAGAACAGCTACAGAGAGGGCTCAGAACAACCGACACAACATTCCCCCTGGAAGGGCCATTGAACCAGAGCAACAGTGATTATTCCGCTGGAGGAACAGGAGTCCCCCTCACCACCAACCACCACACTCACTCCTTTACCACCCATGCCAAGGAAGGTGCCCCCCAAACGAGCCTCCCACAGCTGAACTCTACAACGAGCAGTGCCCACTCAGAGCCATCACCACATTATACCGATGACTACGACTATGATGAACAACCAAAGGAGGAAACCCCAGTGCAAACAGCCCAGGTTGCCTGTGACTACAATCCTTGCAGGCACCTGCAGAAGCCATGCAGGGAACTCCAGAACATATCCCAGTGTTCATGTCCTGGCACATCGAGGGAAGATGAGATTCCAGACCCACCCAGGCTCAGAGAGGTGATTGAAATCACTGACAGCTCTGCACAGATACGCTGGTGTGCCCCATATTCAGTTGTTCACAGCTATGAGCTGATGCTTCATGCCCAAGACAATGAGGACAGGAAGTTTGTCATGGACAACATCTACCCCACGGCCAGGCAGTACACTCTGTACAACCTGCTACCATTCACCACTTACCATATCTGTGTGACAGCCTCCAACAAAGCAGGGTCAAGCCAGACAACAGGCCAGGAAATTCCAGGTAATTCGTGCACCAGCTTTAAAACAAAACCCAGCTACAAGTATGTTTTTGCTGGTCTGTCTGCAGCAAGTGGACTCTTTCTCATTACCACAATTATTTTGTCTGTATGTCTGTGTAAGGCATGTAAAAAGCCTCAGAGTGAGCATTATGGCACACACTTAGTCTCCTACAAGAACCCAGCATTTGATTATCCCTTAAAACTGCAAACCTCTAATTAGCTCTGGGTGATTGTTCTACACATTCAAAATTCACTATCTCCATCACCTTGGTGTGTTTTTGTGAGATTCTGACAGTGTCCTTCAGCAAAACCATAACCCTGACATTTCTAAGGGAGAGAAAACCACCAAAAAAAGAAAAACTAATAATGAAGGCAGTCAACCAGAAAAAAAGTCTTTGGAGTCCTCTTCTTATGCTAAGCAGCAGCAAGCCTTGACACTAACTTTGAAAAGTTGTTTTTGCAATCACCTACAAATAGAGTAGCATAAATTTCACACAGTGAGAAGCTGCTTGGCCAGCTGTCTGCCTCCAGTATCCCTCATGAACACAGTCAGATGAGAGCTGTAATCCAAGGTGCATTAGGCTTAGCAAGACGTACTCTGCTTTTATTCACACAGCAAAGCTGGGGGTTCAGTTTTTTTAAAGGTATTATCCATAAAGAGTACAGCTGAAAAGAGTGAGTGGGCTCAGTGACAAGATGTTGTGCAGATCTAACTCATCTAAGTAAATGTAGTGGATGCAGATGATCAACCTAACTTCAGTTCAGGAAAAAGAAACATGAAATTTAATTGTAGAAACTGATTGTGCAGGATCTTTAGGTTAGGGGCAATTGTTTTGTTATGACTTTTTATAAGGTTGTCCACAGCTGAGTCTCCTGAATTCTTCCCCAAAACAAGCTCACAGGCAGTGGGAGGTTTGCAGTACAGCAGTGACCCACAGAAGGGGGGAGGGGAGCATCCTCTCCAAATTTTAACATTTGCTTCCCAGTGGATTTTAAGCAGAGAGGATGTTCCATCCCAATCATCCATCCCATCTACAGATTTAGCAGATGACGATTTACCTCATACAGAGGCAAAAAGTCAAGTAATGAAGCAATTTACTGTGCAGCTGAGGCTTGAAAAACCTAAATCCTCTGCACTAGCAGCAGACAGTTCTGCAGACACCTTTCAAATGAACTCTTGGGTGCCAATTTCTGTACAATAATAGTAAGAAATGCTGACAATCCCAACTTTGAGCTTGCCATTGGAATCCAAAGAGGTGTCCCAATCTGATATTTCCCCATAGGCAAGTTCCAGGAGCTGCCTGTTCCTGCTGTACAGACACGATGCATAAAACCCCCTGAACTCTGAGGGGAAGGTGCTGAAGTGTGTAAAAGAGTCTCTGTTGCATTCTTTTGGGGTTTTTAATGTTTTCAGTATTACTGAAATAAAAGCCACAGAGCTATGTTCTGATTTTTTATTAAAGACATGGATCTTGGTGTTGTCTTTACCATCTACAGTGTTTAGCCTGAGAAATTAACTCCTTTTGTTGTTTTGGAATTAACTTTCAACATGTAGTAAAGAAATGTTTTTATATTGGTAGATTTGTGTACTCTGATGTCCCAAGAGCTTTCATTTTGTAATTGGCAGAAGAAGGATTGCTTCTTGGCACCATTATAGGCTTGCAGTCCTTTCCTGGGAATTTGTCCTCTCCCCAGCACTGCACTGGGAATGACACCATCACTGGACCGATGCAGATCTGCCATGTCTGTCCCAAGTTTACCTGATTCCCATGACTCAAACTTATAATAGAAGTGAAATGCAAATTAAGAAGGCAGGATGGGTCACCTTTCACTTTGAAAATCTCCTATTTTCACATTCTGGTAGTTCAGAATTTTCTCTGTTTGGACCTAGGTTTTTATACTTATTTCTGGCCTGGCTTCTCCTGCATTTTCTCAAGGATTTAGTGAGCGGGTACATACGATTGTCATTTGAAGTGAGCAAGTGAGCCAAAGACTCATTATCTCAAACTGGGGCAGAGATCATACATTCCCTTGTGCTTGTACAGCATAGTTCTAGGACACCTTGACTGGGGTGATTTGTTTTACCAGAAACAAAGCAAAATACAAGATCTGTGAATAGCAATTTATATTGTCTTGAAGATTAGCTCCAGAGAAGGGCAGGAAAAAAAGATTGCTGCAACTTAAATATGAGCTAGTCCAAAGCAAGGGGACATCATTTAAACTGAGATATTGGGAGGACATATCTCACTACCCTTTACCACACTGCAGCTCATAATCACTGAATTAGGAAGTTCTAAACAATTTATTTCTCCAACTACCTCTAACTCCAGCCTCTCCTGAATTTCACAACCAAGGAAATCCTCCCATTCTTTTAGGGTGCCCTTTCTGGGAGCCACACAAATATACAAGTCCTGCTCCCACAGTCCCTACTTGTTCCAGCTTAAGCAGCTCAATTCCATCTGGGCTGATGAATCATCCTGAAGCACAGATGCCCCAGCCAGGGGCAGTGCCTCTCTCTTGCCCAGTAACACTCAATCCTTCCATGAGTGGAATGTATGGAATGCATGAGATGTAGCAGCAGGGTTAAAAACATGGGATTTGTATTTATCACCACCTGTGAGAAGTATCAGTGTTTCAAATGCAGATTTTTGGGCGGTTTTTTTCTGTTTGGTTTTTTTGGGTTTTTTTTTTGGTGGGTTGTTTTGTTTTGCTTTGTTTTATTTTTTGCTACTCCCACTTTGTATTTTCACCAGGATTCATTTTAGTAATGACTAACTAAACTTATTCCAGTGGAGGGAGCTCTCAGAGAGTTGCTCGGGAATGAGGCAGTGAGAGGAGCAAAGCCACCCATGGGCTGCACAGAAACTTTCCCGGTAAAGCCATGTCAGGGAGCTGCCCAGCTTTGCTCTGCCTGCTTCTTCCTCCCCCTTTTCCTGATTGTACCCAACAGCAAATCTTGTTTCTACCTCCAGCTTTTGCAGTGTGACTGGATTACCCAAACATCTCTGAAACAATTTTCAATAGCTATCAAAAGCCAACATATAAAAAAATATTACTAAAACTTCACTTACTGTTGCACAGTTCCACTTGTTCTGTTTCTCTGGGAGGAAGATTGCTCGGGGGAAGTGCAGGGAGCATTGAAATACAGTTTTTTAACAGCTTGTGTAGCTTTTTCTGTGTTTTTTCTTTCTCAGCAAGAAGTCTTATCAAGACCCTTCTCCACTCACTTGTGTTTGTCTTCCCAAAAACCAAGTCCAAGCAGAGTCCACAACAGCCAACAGTGCCTGTGGGTGCATCTCCTGGTTGTCAAGGCAGAAGTGCACAATGCTCCATCTCTAACAGCACTTGCAAATCAGTCGCTGAGTCTCAGTCTCTCCCAGAAGAAACACTCTGGGAAATGGAGCTGATGCCCTCCATGCAGGAAAAAAAGGCTCTTTAAGGGTCAGAACTCTTGCTGGCTATGAGGGAGCAGAGAGGGACACCCACCTTGCTTTTGGTGCAACAAATGCCATTAGAGAAGCAGTCCCTGAGAGCCCTGTAAGCAGGCACGTGGGAAAGCCCAGAGCAGCACAACAAGGTGCTTCAGCCTGATCCATCTCAGCACCAGAAGGAATCCCACTTTTCAGAGTTGTCTCAGGTCAGAGGAGTGACAGGCATTAAATGGCCCAGCTGGGAGGTCACGCAGCCCAAGGCAGAGAGCTCACATCACATCCCAGGCTCCATCAGCCTCTTCCTGGCAGGATGCACAAGTTCAACCACAATGCTCCCTCAGCAAGCACTGCCCTTGAACAGCCATACTCCTCCCCAGGGATCTCTGGAACAGCACGTTTGTGTGGAGTTACAAACAAGGATGCCTCTGAGGGCTCAGGATGTTGCTTGCCAAGAAGCCTCTAATTTGTTCTTTACCTGTGAAATACAAAGATATATCACAGGTGAGAACATGTTTCGTATTTGCGGAAACAGATCCATAAAAGAACATGTTTAAACTCCGGTGCTTTTTCTTTTCATCAGCTCTCCAAAGGATGCAGAGCTTGTTCTGAACAGGACAATCCGTTAATCCCAACCTCTCTAAAAAGTAATCAAGCAGCATTACAAATTAACACTGTTCTGAAATACATCCAGGAGGCAACGCCTCACAACAAGGCTAGTGCTCTGCTGGCATCTAGAGGGAGAGGGGGGAATCATCTCCCCAGGTATTCCCACAAAGAAATACTTATTCCTTCACCTAAGAGCTTCAACCTGTACCCTGCAGACCAAGGGTCACTGTCTTACACTACCCGTGTGCTCCTGTGTGTCCTCACCTACTCCTGTGTGAAGGAAAAGAAGTGCTGAGAATTAACAGCAGCAACAGTCCTACAGACTTATTCAGCTGCTTGTGTGTCCCTGCCTCATTCCTTTTGTAGCCTTATGACCAGGAACTTCTCTGCCAACTTGCCACTGATAAGGAAAAATGTATTTTTTTGGTAAGAACAAGGAGGGAATTACTGCCTGGAAAAACTGGAAAATCAGTCTACAAGTGCAGCAAGATTTTTGGGGTTTTTTTTAACTATTATAGATTTAGAAGCAGAGATCAGGTTGCATTCATTGCACTTAGAGGAAAAATAAACAATGTTTACACTGATGTCTTAGAAGAACAAAATCACTATCAACAGAGTGGTTTTCTTCCCTCCCAAGCCACAGGGCTGTATTGTGCTGCTGCAGAACCCTGACCCTTCTTTGCTGGGTGACATTACCTACAAGAACACATAATAAGGTAATACTTGAATAGCACTGCATGCATTTCCTGACACACTCCCACAGTGTGTGTCCTCATTTTTCCTAGATCCCTTGCTGAAAAGATTGTGTGAGCAGCCTTTTCATCTACAGATGTCAAATTAGCTTTTTTAAAGGAACATAAGGGAGAAAAAACCCCACAAAAACATTAACAAGAAATGGAGGGAGTAGGATGAAAGAGACAAAACCTCTTTACTATACATAGTCCAGAGCAGGAAGGAAACAAAACCAGAAGAAATCAAGTAAAAGAATCCCAAGAAAAAAAGATAAAATCCAGAATCCCTCATTCATTGTCTTCTCCGGGAAGTAGAAGTAGCCATGCAGCCATCCCATGCAGGCAGGACTGGCAGCTCCTGCAGGGCTCAGCCTCAAGTACTGCAAACCAAAACTTCTGGCATGAAACTCCAGATAGAAGAAGAAAAAATATTCTCTAGGTAGAGACTTTCTTCTTCTCTGAAAAACTAAAATTTACTTGTGCAAAAAACTTAATGCTGGGAAGACTTGAGTATTACATTTATTAAATGTTTAGAAGCTACTCACTGTTAACAGAGTATGATTAGGAATGGTACTTAATAACTTATCTAAGGCCATGGGATGAAATTATGTCACTCTGTTTGTAGCAGTCATTCCTTCTGCTGTTATCACTGCTGCCTCGAGGATTCTCAGTGAGTTATCTCCAGGGAGAAGCAAAAAAGACCTCCTGGAAGATTAACCTCCATTTCAGGAACATTGTGTCAGCAACAAACGTCTCCAGAGGACTGAGCTCTGTCCTCAGTGCAGCTCTAACTAAAAATCTCTCTTCTTCTTGAAGCTGCCCATTCACACGAAGCCAGAAAATGCAGAGTTTCTATAGGTCACAGTTAGGTCCATGTTCTATTTGAAGAACAGAGTACTAAGAACACAAACCTCTTTTTTTTTTCCAAGAAACTAAGATAAAATACTCTGTTGCAACCCCAGGATCTTGTGTGGGGGTGTTGATTATGGGATTTGTTATTGTCTCATTGCTTCTTGGAGATGCTGGAAAAGGCCAGAATAGCC